ATCAGGAGGATATATATATTTTTTTGATACCCAAGATTGAACCCAGGGGTACTTAACATTGAGCCACATCCTCAGCCTTTTTGTATTTAGGCAAAAGGCCTTGCCAAGTTGCTGAAGCTGGCTTTGGACTCAATCCTCCTGCCTCAGCCTCCTCAGCTGCTGGGGTTACAGGCATAGCCTCCTGGTGGCTGAGATGGTGGCTATTAAAAAACTGAACTCTGGGTCATGCTTCTTTTTCCCCTTTGGTGGTGCTGGAGATTCAACCCAGGGCCTTGTTCATGCGAGGCCAGGACTCTATCAACTGACCTATATTCCCAGCCCCCAGAGTTCAATCTTTTAGGCAATTTTAAAAAGCTAGTACCGTATTTCTGGAGTCGTTAGCGAAGTGGAACACATCCATGGTGAACCGGAGAACATCGGTCTTAGACCTCGGAGCTTGGAATGCAGAAGAGCCATCGGAGAGACCGTCCACCAGGCAACTTTGGAAGGGAACAAGGGAACATGTTAGAGGCTGGGTACATGGGCTACGGGCCATCTGGTGACTAAGACTCCCTGGAAAGTCAGCCCAGGCCTCACCCATGGAAGTCCACAATGCTGTGACGAGGCAAGGCGCTCTGGTCTGGTGTCGGGGTGGCTACACAGTGGTCTACAAACAGGTGCAGTGGCGGGTGGCTGCCAGTGTGGACATCGGCCAGGAGGTAGGCGGTGTCTCCCAGGTAGAAGGTGGGGGACAGTTTCTCAGAGGTCCAGTTCTCTGGAGGACACAACCAGGGCTAGAGACTGCCCAGAGCTCCCCTCCCAGCTCCCCTCGCTCCCTACCCCCCGGCTCACCCTCCATCAGGCGCAGAGAGAAAATCAGCTGCTTCTCTGAAGACACTGTGGTCCTGAAGGGCACCCAAGTGGGCCAGATGGCCTGGCTGCTCACATTGCCCTGCCTGGGAGAACCGTCACAGCTGCCCACACGGGTCCCAGGGCACACCCCCCTCCACCACCCTAGGGCCTATGGCAGCAGGGGGTGTCCAGTTTCTCTATGGCAATGTCCTTAGTGATGGCCCACAGGCAGCTAGGCCAAGATACCCAAAGCCTGAGCCTGACCCTAAATCCTCCTGAACATCTACACTTGAGATCAGGACTAAGGCCTATGCCCTCCGCTGAGCCTGACATAGGACCCAACCCTGACTGCACGGGCCTGGTCACCCTCACGTCCTGCTTTGGTGGTAAAATTCACAGGCACATGTTTCATGTTAGGGGCTGCAGGGCCAGGACTTGGTGTAGGAACTACTGTAGCAGCAGTATTTTTTTCCCCTTCCTGGGAGGCTTAACCACCAAGCCACATCCCCATCTTTTTATTCTGACACAGGGTCTCAGTCACAGCAACACTATTCAAAGACTGCTTCTGACTCTGAGGAGGGCCTGGGATGGCCTAATACACACCCCCCCCCTAAGGTCTAGGGCTACTCTAAACCTCCCTTAAGAGGCCACGCAAGTCAGAGGCTCAGACAATTCAGAAGGCACCCCCACCTCCACGCAGGCTGAGGGCAGTGACCACAGCTGCCGGCACTTTCCCTTCTCATAGCCACCTGCAAACTGTTCCAACCAGCCAAGCCACCTGCCTGCAGCCACGGCAAACCAGGGACATAGCCACCAGGGGCCAAAACGGCCCGTCCCCCACTGACCTGGGGTAGCGGCACTCAATGGGAATCTCCACGCGGTTGGTCCTCACAATGGACAGGTTTCCCACGGGATGGGGGTCATGGAGCAGGAAGGTGCTGTACACCAGGGCATCATCTGTCACCTGAAGCAAAGGGGAGGCATTAGCACTACAGGCATCACTTGGCCCAGGCAGGTTTGGCCCCCGTGAGAGTGCAGGGAGGGCAGCCTGCTGGGGTGAAACCAACCAGCAAGGAGGGGCTGGGCAGGTGTCCTCTTAATATCTCAGGGTCTTTACCTGACACCCCTGTAGGTGTCTGCATCAGCTACGTGGCAGGCAGATAGGAAGCAGTGCCCAGTGACCTCAGGATATACACACCGCTTTTGGGCGGTACTGTGACTTGAACTCGGGGATATTAGGCCACTGATGGTCTCACTTGTGATCCTCCTGCCTCAGCCTCCTGAGTAGCTGGGATTATAGGTGTGCACCACTGCACCTGGCCATGGGCAATTTCTTCTTATTGGTGTGGAGAGGCAAGAAAGACCTAGGGGCAGCTAGGTGCCTTTTTTTGGTTGGTTACCAAGGATTGAACTCGGGGCCACTCGACCACCGAGCCCCATCCCCAGCCCTATTTTGTATTTAGGGACAGGGTCTCACTGAGTTGTTTAGCAACTTGCTTTTGCTGAGGCTGGCTTTGAACTCTTGATCCTCCCTTCTCAGCCTCCCGAGCTGCTGGGATTACAGGCGTGTGCCATCGCGCCTGGCCAATCTTCACTACATTATCACCTTCCCATCTTATCTGGGGCCCACTTCACAGAAGCAGGGGAAGGTGCAGTGGTCTCCTGAGGATGGAGGAGACAAGCAGGCCCTGCCAGAGGTCTTTTCACCACCCCTTACAGAGACTGCCTAGAATGGATTTCCCTCGTGGCCCAGCTGCCCCCACCCTAGATCTTCAGAGGGCAGTTCTGGATCGTAAGTGCCCCAGACAGGGCCAGCAGCATTTGTGGAGCCTCTCATTAAAGAGAATTTCAGGGCAGAGCATTAACTGAGCCCAGGGCCAGGTGAACCTCATCAGGCAGGAGGCAGAACACTGGCAAAGGAAGAAGCTTCCAGGCTTTGCTGGAGGCTTCACCTGAGACTCAGATGCTCATGGCTGCCTCCCATGCCCGTTCCGCTTTAGTAAGGAGTGCAGCCTGGACTTCAGGATTTTTTTTTTTTTTTAAAGAAGCTCCCCAGGTTATTCTAGAATTTGGGACTAAGCTAATATTTTTTTGTTTTTGGAGGGGGGGTACCAGGGATTGAACTCAGGGACAGTTGAGCACTGAGCCACCTCCCTAGCCCCCTTTTGTATTTTGTTAGGGACAGGGTCCCATCGAGTTGCTTAGCGTCTGGCTAAATTGCTGAGGTTGGCTTTGAACTTGTGATCCTCCTGCCTCCTGCCTCCTGAGCCGCTGGGATTACAGGTGTGCGCTATTGCGCACGGCTATACTAATTCTTCAAACAACTCCTACAGTACTGGGCGTGATAGCACCTGCCTGTAATCCCAACAATTTGGGAGGTTAAGGCATGAGGATCACAAATTTGAGGCCAGCCTCAGCAATTTAGTGAGTTTTTTTCCCTCACTTAAGAAAAGAGGATTGGGCTGGGGATGTGGCTCAAGCGGTAGCGCGCTCGCCTAGCGTGCATGCCGCCGGGTTCGATCCTCAGCACCACATACAAAAGATGTGTCCGCCGAGAACTAAGAAAAAAATAAATAAATGTTAAAATTCTCTGTCCCCCCCCCTCAAAAAAGAAGACGGTTGAGCTGGAATGCCGGATGATTGAGCTCAATCCTTAGTTTAAAAAAAAAAACCCACACCCCACAACCGAGGCTGTAGCTCTGGCTCCCCAGGAAGACAAGGACAGCGAGTTCTTGAGGAGATTCCTGGGGGAAATCACAGTTGAGGTCAGAGATCAGCCTATAGGGGTCCAGGAGCTGTATTGCCCTCGCCCGGCCAAGTAGAGTCCAGGGTCAGGTGAGCAGGAGCAGGGCCCTGTGATGGAGGGGAGGAGTGGCCCTCCATGGGCCAACAGAAGGAGGTCCAGGGGAATCGGGACTAGCTGGGGAGCTGTGTGTCCTGCCTTGCCAAGGTCCACCTCCCCACTTCCTTAGGGAAGGGCGTGGCCTAGGTTACCTGAGGTCTCTTTCTATTCTAACCTGCATCCCATATTAAGCCTCTACTGCTTGGACCTGTTCCCAGGCACCCAAAGGAAGCCTGGGAATCTTCAACAGGAGGGTAAGTTACGATGCCCCGGCCCATAACCCCTTTAATTTAAGGCTTCAAGCCATCAAACAGGAGTGAGACAAGCCAAATTCTCTTCCCTCTTCCTCCCCATCCCAGTGATAACTTTTAGGCTTATTTTTTGGGGGGGTACCAGGGATTGTACCTAGGGTTGCTTTACCACCGAGCCACATCCCCAGCCCTTTTTGAGACAAGGCCTCTCTAAGTTCCTAAATTTGGTCTTAAACTTGAGATCCTCCTGCATTGCTGGTTATGGCAGGCTTTCTGAAGTGTCAAAGACTCTTTTAATGCCCCTGGCAAGTACCTGGCTACCCGCAGGGTTATCCTCTGTCTCCCTGTTCTATGT